AGATTGGTGAGGCATGATTTTCCTTTACAAAACCATGTTGACTGTTCCCCAACATATTGTGTTAATTTATGTGTCTGATGATTCTGTTCTTTACTATAGTTTTAATCAATTTGCCTGCTACTGAAGTTAGGCTTACTGGCCTGTAATTGTCAGGATCACCGCTGGAGCTTTTTAAAAAAATTGGAGTTACATTAGCTATCCTCCCATCATCTTGTACAGAGGCTGATTTAAGCAGTAGGTTACATACCACAGGTTTCAGAGTAACAGCCGTGTTAGTCTGTATTCGCAAAAAGAAAAGGAGTACTTATGGCACCTTAGAGACTAACCAATTTATTTGAGCATAAGCTTTCGTGAGCTACAGCTCACTTCATCGGATGCATACTGTGGAAAGTGTAGAAGATCTTTTTATACACACAAAGCATGAAAAAATGGGTGTTTACCACTAGAAAAGGTTTTCTCTCCCCCCCACCCCACTCTCCTGCTGGTAATACCTTATCTAAAGTGATCACTCTCCTTACAATGTGTATGATAATCAAGGTGGGCCATTTCCAGCACAAATCCAGGGTTTAACAAGAACGTCGGGGGGGGGTAGGAAAAAACAAGGGGAAATAGGTTACTTGCATAATAACTTAGCCACTCCCAGTCTCTATTCAAGCCTAAGTTAATTGTATCCAATTTGCAAATGAATTCCAATTCAACAGTCTCTCGCTGGAGTCTGGTTTTAAAGTTTTTTTGTTGTAATATCGCAACTTTCATGTCTGTAATCGTGTGACCGGAGAGATTGAAGTGTTCTCCGACTGGTTTATGAATGCTATAATTCTTGACATCTGATTTGTGTCCATTTATTCTTTTACGTAGAGACTGTCCAGTTTGACCAATGTACATGGCAGAGGGACATTGCTGGCCCATGATGGCATATATCACATTGGTGGATGTGCAGGTGAACGAGCGTCTGATAGTGTGGCTGATGTTATTAGACCCTGTGATGGTGTCCCCTGAATAGATATGTGGGCACAGTTGGCAACAGGCTTTGTTGCAAGGACAGGTTCCTGGGTTAGTGGTTCTGTTGTGTGGTATGTGGTTGGTAGTGAGTACTTGCTTCAGGTTGCGGGGCTGTCTGTAGGCAAGGACTGGCCTGTCTTCCAAGATTTGTGAGAGTGTTGGGTCATCCTTCAGGATAGGTTGTAGATCCTTAATAATGCGTTGGAGGGGTTTTAGTTGGGGGCTGAAGGTGACGGCTAGTGGCGTTCTGTTATTTTCTTTGTTAGGCCTGTCCTGTAGTAGGTGACTTCTGGGAACTCTTCTGGCTCTATCAATCTGTTTCTTCACTTCCGCAGGTGGGTATTGTAGTTGTAAGAATGCTTGATAGAGATCTTGTAGGTGTTTGTCTGAGGAGTTGGAGCAAATGCGGTTGTATCGTAGAGCTTGGCTGTAGACAATGGATCGTGTGGTGTGGTCAGGGTGAAAGCTGGAGGCATGTAGGTAGGAATAGCGGTCAGTAGGTTTCCAGTATAGGGTGGTGTTTATGTGACCATCGTTTATTAGCACTGTAGTGTCCAGGAAGTGGATCTCTTGTGTGGACTAGACCAGGCTGAGGTTGATAGTGGGATGGAAATTGTTGAAATCATGGTGGAATTCCTCAAGGGCTTCTTTTCCATGGGTCCAGATGATGAAAATGTCATCAATATAGCGCAAGTAGAGTAGGGGCGTTAGGGGACGAGAGCTGAGGAAGCGTTGTTCTAAGTCAGCCATAAAAATGTTGGCATACTGTGGGGCCATGCGGGTACCCATAGCAGTGCCGCTGATTTGAAGGTATACATTGTCCCCAAATGTAAAATAGTTATGGGTAAGGACAAAGTCACAAAGTTCAGCCACCAGGTTAGCCATGACATTATCGGGGATAGTGTTCTTGATGGCTTGTAGTCCATCTTTGTGTGGAATGTTGGTGTAGAGGGCTTCTACATCCATTGTGGCCAGGATGGTGTTATCAGGAAGATCACCGATGGATTGTAGTTTCCTCAGGAAGTCAGTGGTGTCTCAAAGGTAGCTGGGAGTGCTGGTAGCGTAGGGCCTGAGGAGGGAGTCCACATTTTACCATTACATATTACCATTTACATATTACCAGCAGGAGAGTGGGGTGGGGGGAGAGAAAACCTTTTGTAGTGGTAAACACCCATTTTTCATGCTTTGTGTATATAAAAAGATCTTCTATACTTTCCACAGTATGCATCCGATGAAGTGAGCTGTAGCTCACAAAAGCTTATGCTCAAATAAATTGGTTAGTCTCTAAGGTGCCACAAGTACTCCTTTTCTTTTTACATACCACAGTTACTTGTTTTGCAGTCTCATATTTGAATTCCTTCAGAACTGTTGGGGTGAATTGGTTCCAAAACCATCTCTATTGAAACCTCAATCTGGGACAGTTTCTCAGAGTTGTCACCTAAAAAGAATGGTTCAGGTGTGGAAATCTCCAACACATGGTCTGCAGTGAAGACCAGTGCAAATAATTCAAGTAGCTTCTCCACAATTGCCTTGTCTTCCTTGAGTGCTCCTTTAGCTTATCGGTTGTCCAGTGGCCTCACTGATTGTTTGGCAGGCTTCTTGATTATCATCTTTCCACCAAGTTTCTGTGATGCCTATTATATCAATATTGACATTTAATACCAGGCACTCAAGTTCACCCGTCTTAGTATTTAGATTTTTAGCATTTGTATACAAGCACTTATAAAATTTGTCAATATTTAGTTGACTGCATTCATGTGATGTAGTTGAATGGGACTCTTTTTAAGTTGATTGTTTCTCTTCCTAGCCTACAGGTACTTTATAAACTCCTATCCTTTCCTTTTTACTAGGCTATGGAGAATCCCTGTTAAATAGATCCTTCCCTAAGGGATGTCTCTGTCCGAAAAAAGTGCTTTTCTGCATCTGTTGGCTTTCCCCCAGCTTTTAGTTTAAAAATTTTTCTACCAACTTTTTAATTTTACTTGCCAGCAATCTGGTTCCATTTTGATTTAGGTGGAGCCCATCCTTCCTGTACAGGCTCCTCCTTTCCCAAAAGGTTCCTCCATTCCTAATAAACATAAATCCCTCCTCCCAACACCACTGCCTCAGCCACCCATCGAGATGCTGCATTTCTGCCTGTCTAACTGGCTCTGCGTGTGGAACTAGAAGCATTTCAGAGAATGCCACCATGGCGTCCTGGACTCGAATCTCTTACCAGGACTGCACATAAGTCTGTCTGTCTGTCATTGAGAGATCTGCAACCTTCGTGTCCGGCAAGCAATTGGCTATGTGTTTCTCCTAGTTATCAGAAGCCTGGGCAGTTGGGGACCTCCCTCTGGAGCCATCTGCTTCTCCAGAAGCAGCTAGAGCAGCAGCATGCTTTTAACCATTTCATGTTTGCTCTCTACTAAAGGCACATACAGGAGTGGGCAGGAAGCCTGCTCTAGCAGGTGCAATCTGCACTGGTGAGCCATTGCCATGTGACGTGGCTGGCTCTGTAGTTGGTGAAGACCTTCATGCCCTCTCCTCCTTTATAAATACTCTGGAAGGAGCCGCCTGTGAATGCACTCTGGTTAGAATAACTAGAGAAGGTTGGGTGTGCCTGAGCAGCAGCAGTGTGTGCTCAGAACTTGGGCTACATGGGGCATGTCAAGTGCTGAGCAGCATCAAAACCTTTTATATATGTGCTGTTGACCGGTCTGTCATCACAGAATGTGGTGTTACAGGAAATAGTGTTGGTGATTCAGTAGGGGGCACTATTTAATCTGAGTCAGTACTGAGCTGGCACTAGGGCACTGTGCTGTGGAAGGGGCCATCGGTCAAGAGAGACATAAAATGTTGGAACAAATGGCTTTCAGCATCCATGGCATTTTTAGAAGTATATAGGTGTTCTTGCCACACATCAGTGTAGGCAATTACATACTTATTATGTAATTCTTTCCCCTGCAGTTTCAGTTTGTACAGGATTGTTCTTCATTTCCTGTTGAGCACTTTTGCTTGGAACATGGCAAGCATTCATCTAGAGGTGGCGTCATTTCAGAGATTGGTGAAGTGATTCATATTATAGCAGAGTTACGCTGAGCTTTCCGTCAAGAATATGTCTACACTGCAGCTGTGGGTGCGATATGCAGCTTGAGTAGATGCACCCATGCTCGCTGTACCCTAGCTAGCTCATTAAAAATAGCAGAGGATGCTCCGGCCTGGGCTTCAGCACCTGCTGCACAAGCCCACCTGTTGACGACATCCTCACTGCTCTTTTTAGCAAGCTACCTAAAGTACAGCTAGCATGGGTGCATCTACTGGAGCTGCCATTCACACCCACCACTGCAGTGTAGATGTACTATAAAGCTCCTGTTTTCGCATGCTCACAACCTCCTGAAAGTTTTTCCCTTTGTGGCTGGAGCTTTCTTAGCTTGGTCCCAGAAAAGAATTTTGAGAAGGCTTGAACTTGATTTTGGCCTTTAAGGCATTTTATATTATTGGAATATGGGAAAAATGCACTTTTCCCACCATTTAAAATATTCTTTTGTACACTAATAACTCAAAAATGGATGAGCCAAGACCCCCTCTAAACGTTGTGTGTAAATAGTCCCTACTGGTGAGCTGGTCTTTTACTAGATTTGGAGGGGAATAGTTCACCCTGAAGAGTTGTAAATTGCTTCTGAGCATAGTGAGTGGTTGTATTCTAACAAAAGCCCTGTCCCCTTTCGTGACATCCCAATATACAGCTTCATAGCATTTTTTGACAGGCCCAAAGGAACTGTTACATTGAAACACACACAGTCCTCGAAACTGTTCTTGCTGGCCTTTGCTTTTTCAGATGTGCCTTGCAGGAAAAAGTCTCCAGTCCAACAGTACAGCAGCAAAGGTGAACCTCACTGGTTTTACCTGCGTGAGATGTGAACTTTGCTTCCGAGTGCCCAAGTCATATTAATACTTAGCGTAGATCTTCAAGTGCTTTATACAGGTGAGTAAATGTAATTATCCCTGTTTTACAGATATTGCAACTGTGACACAAAGAGTGGAACAGTGATTTTCTGAAGCTCGCACATCAAGTCAGTGGCAGAACCAGAAAAAGTACCCAGGTCTCCTGATTCCCAACCCTGTGCGCTGAACACTGCCACTCATCTCACTGATGTGTAAATGTTCAAAAGTTATTTGGGATCATACTTAGGCAGTTTTAACAGAAGTTCTGATGCAAGCATGTCTACAGCAGATGTGCTACCACCGTGCTTGCTATAATCCAGTACGTTCGGACTAAACGAGTTTGTTAGCGTGAAGAATGTCATCTTCTTACTTGACTGATCTGTGGACTGTGTATGTTCAGAGCCTTTTCTGCTCACTTTGCTGTCTGAACTGTTTGTTTCTCTTTACTGCTGTGAGCCCTGCTGAGCCAGCACAGGTCTTGAAATGGTTCTTAGTTTTCTTTGGCTTGTGTATCATTTAACAGAATTGCATAATCTTTGTTACAGGTTGTTTTCAGGGCTAGCAATTAGAAATTTATTTTTACTTGTAAATTTAGCAGATTTGATTTGATTTGGATTCCGTAAAAGAGAAAAACTGGAGCCCCGGGCTGCTATTTTACAAACACTTGTCAGAGCAGAGGCCAACTTTGCATTGCCTGACTTAGCTGCCTATAAGTGTGTAACCTGGTTGTAGACTGTGTCTAGTTTGTCCAATAAATTAGAGCTTTTGTATTCATTTGGATAAAAGGATCTGTGTAAAGGTCACCATCATGGACATTAGTTCCTGTAAATACATAAAAAGAGTTTATTTCATTTTTTTTTAAATGACAGTTTTCCAGAATGATGCCAAGAAAAAGAAAGCGGTTAACTCCATTAAATGCTGTCCAAAGTAAACCAGGCTTCTCTCCAGCTGACACCTCTGGGAGCCTGACAGTTCTCCTTGATGGGAATTCCTCTCCAGTAAGCAGCAAATACTTCAGTGAAGAGAAGAGGACATCTTCCCGGCTAGGGACAGACTTTTTCAACCAACCCTGCATCAACCTGGCTAAATCATTTCTAGGACAGGTAATTGATACAAGGACTCACGCTCGTGTCCGTGCCAATAGGTTTACTTTATGGTACAGCACACACCAACAACATAAGTTGTTGGACCATAACTGCATCCTTTTACTGGGTTTTAATTCCAAGGCTCTCTGCTGTTACAGGAAATATGGGCTCACTCCTGCTCTTGGTGAAATCACTGGGACTTTTGGGAACAGGGTTGGGCCCATTTTGGTTGTATGAGCAGAACCAGTCTCTTATCAGATCTCTTTTCTATTGCATTTTGCATTAAGCTTATCTTGAAGCTTTATTTTTTTTTAATCCGGTTTACTCACTGAAATGGGATTGGTGACTGATCCAGGGCCATTATTCTTGTAACAGGTATTCCTATATGTTGGCTTTGTATTTTCTTTGGCTGGGTGGCCTAGTGGATAGGGCACTGAACTGTGACTCAGGAAACCTGAGTTCTATTCCCAGCTCAGGCGTGCTGGGTGATCCTGGGCCAGTTATTTCCCTTCCTCTGTCTCAGTTTCTGTATATGTGAAATGGGGATAATGCTTCTGACCTCCTTTGTAAAGCGCTGTGAGATCTATGGATGAATAGCAGTTTATAAGGGCTATGGATTATTATAATGCTATAATATGTCAGAATAGTTACTTCTCTCTGAAAACCCAAACTACCATTCTAGACTTCGTGCTGCCTTGTATCCTTGGAACAGCCTCGCACTTAACATACACCAAGCTCTCTCCTCTTAAGAGGCAGATATTGCCTCTTTCTTTGCAGATGTGAAGGGTCTTAACTCTGCCTGAATCAGCATGGATCGATCCTACAGAAAAGGCAAGGTGCATGATTTCACCCTTCCTTGTGCACTACTTAACTGTGTTCCATCAAGGATCCCTTTGCACTAGAATACAATGTGTTTTGTGGGGCAGGCTGTGGGTGTCACAGGGGTGGGGCTGTTGGATCTTTGACTGTGCACATCCATCAGACATTCTCTACCTACCCATAGGCGGGGAGCCACAGGAGCCCTGAGGCTGTGATAGCAGCTGCATAATATCTTCACGGCCTTCCCCCTGAGGGACCAGATATCCCCATTACATAGTTCAGTTAGATGAGTTGTGTACTTCAGCCCAGAATTAGCCCTTAAATCTTTCAAACTCCACCCACACACTGCTGAGGCACTCCAAAGGTCTCAAACTTGTGTGTTCCAGCTCTGTATTGTCCTGTGTTGTGCCTGTTATCGCTCTTGGAATTTTTTTTTTTTTAAGTTGTCATGGAAAAGTTTCTGTCAGTCTTAGATTTGGTAAAAGTTTTGGATTTTGTCTTACAAAACCTAAATTTTGGGCCATACTTGGCCTGACAGTAACTCTTTAAAATGCATTTGGTCATATTAGTATGCACCGTCAATAGGACACAGAAACCTGAATAGAATAGAATACATCATAGGATATTTTGCATATGTACTAGTGAATGAGGATAGGTAAGGGCATTTGCTTATTTTTCCACTAGGAGAAACCCTTGTCTTTATTCTACTTCAGTGAATTGTTTTTGCTGTAATGGAGGACAAAATACAGATGTAGTTTGCTAATCATCAGTGGAAGAGGTGTCCTGAGTGGCTTTCTTTGTGCACATTTGGGGTAGCTGAGAAATCAAAGAAATAGCTATGTGAATCTTAAAACCACAATTTGATCTTCAGCATTTCTTCTGTTTAAAAGAAAGAGTTATCCATGTGTGTCTGATGCTTTTGGAGCATAAAAGCTGACTGTCATTAGTCACAGATCATGACTTCAGACTGGCCAAAAAATTAGTATGCTTCTGAAGCCTCTCTGTGCATATTCCATGATTGAAAATGGTAAACTCAATAATTTCTCTGATACTGTTGATAACTCGGGAGTTGTTAAAAACAGATTCTAAAATGCAACAGTTGTAGTGTTTGATGCAGACCTCTGGCAAATCCATTACTGGATCAGGCCAACAATTGCTTTAGCAATCCAGTGCAAGCATCTGGCAGGAATTAAGCTCTCTGCTTCATGAGGGTCATTCCAAAACCACTTATTTTTAAATATGGGAGTGCAGAATGTAGTATAATTAAACAGAGAGTTTGTGCCCAAAAGAGGCTACGTTGAAGTATTTCATAAACACATTAAATAAAACAAGATGTCTGGAAACAACATTAGGTCAAACCACAAAAAACAATGTGTATGGATTTTGCTTATGTTTTGTTTCTCTCTCTCTCTCGTTTTAAAATTCTTTTCACCATTCTCTATTTCTCCACCTACACTGAATTATTTACCTAAGTGCCAGCAGCAGGGAGCCTGTTTCAATAGCGAAGTTTTGTCAAGCTGTTGCCCAGAGTCTCTCCGCTGCATGTTATGTAGTGTGGAAACTACAAAAGTATTATTAATACCCTGTTTATGACTATGTGCCCAGCTGGGGACCAGAACTTGGTACTAGTCTTGGTAAGACTGTGTCCAATGATGAAGTTATTTCATCATATTTGTTGTCATATTTTCCTCTGAATTAAATAATACACATTTAATGATGTGCTAAAGTTGTGATTTAGAGTCAGTGTCAGTGAGTTAACAGGTGGCACTCTTTGCTTCAGCCAATACACATGTTGGATGGAACAAAAAACAAGTGTGCAGGCTGGAAAAAATGACCTTATTTTATGCCTATGTAACAACATAAATTTGTACTGCATGATACAGTCACATTGAAAAAAATGGAACTTATGTTAGGAACTTATGATAGGTAAGTGTCTGGATCCTTGGACTGAGGTGTGGCACCGGATGGGAGCTGGAAAAGCTCACATTAGTTTGCAGTGCATTCTATGGGAGATGATGGAGAAGCACCCATTATGCTGTGTGATAATCCCTGATTCTTTACATTTCTGTACTTCTCATGCTTTTTCCAGTGACCAAGGCTGTGTCTACACTACAGGGACTATTCTGGCATAGTTATGTTGGTGTAGCTGTGCCAGCAGAGCCTTGTAGTGTAAGTGCAGCCTACATCAATGGAAGAGGTTTTTCATTTGTTGTAGGAACACTGGCTCCCCAAACAAAGTTAGCTTCTGTCGACATAGCTGTGCCTACACTCAGGGTTAGGTCGGCATAGCTGCATGGGTCAGGGGGTTGAGTTTTCTTCACACTCCTGACTAATATAGCTATGTTGACCCAACTAAAGGGTTCCTTACTGTGGGACTCACTAACACACACTTTTGACCTCTCTTTCAGATTTTAGTTCATAAACTTCCTGATGGCAGAGAACTCCGGGGAAGGATTGTGGAAACGGAGGCATATCTGGGTGGGGAAGATGCAGCTTCCCATTCAAAGGGAGGGAAGCAAACTGCAAGAAATGCAGCAATGTTCATGAAACCGGGAACCCTGTATGTGTACCAGATCTATGGGATTTATTTCTGCATGAATGTTTCCAGCCAGGGTAAGTGGGGACTCAAGAGTTATAATGATTACGGAATGAGGTGCTTCCATAGTGCAGATATTCATACTTGCCATGTCCTCAGTCATTTATGAGTTTCATACAGACTCTTAGTCTGTAAAGACAGTTGCTACCACCACCTTTGCCTCCCCTCGTGACTTAGGCCTGGCCTACACTGGGGGCGGGGGGGGAGGAGTGGGGTTTCGATTTAAGTTACGCAACTTCAGCTACGTGAATAACGTAGCTGAAGTCCACGTACTTAGATCTACTCACCGCGGTGTCTTCACTGCAGTGAGTCGACTGCTGCTGCTCCCCTGTCGACTTCGCCTGTGTCTCTCGCAACGGTGGAGTACAGGAGTCGAGGGGAGAGCGCTCGGGTGTCAATTTATCGCATCTAGACTAGACGAGGCTAGACGCAATAAATCGACCCCTGCTGGATTGATCACTGCCCAGCGATCTGGCAGGTAGTGTAGACATACCCTTGGTGCTTCTGCTCATGGACCCGTAGCTAAAAACAACCCCGGAAGACTTGGCCACTTTAAATTTAATGTTGCCATTGACAACTAGTGAGTATTACACACATATTGCAGGCAGGGCCTGTCTCTTACCACGTGTATGTAATGGATTTAGCAGAATGGGGACCCGATCTCAGATGAGGCCTCTAGGCAGTACTGGAATACATATAATATTTGAGTCTCTAAGGTATAATCTGTATTTGACAAACTTTTCTTAGGATGAATTTAGAAAATTCTCGGTGTTGTTATCCTGAGATGCTGCCTCATGTGTGCAACCTCTGTGCTAGACAACACTGATGGTGGTTCATGATAAATTTGTTTACAGTCTTTCGAGGACACAATGTAGCTGGATCTATAGATTATGTATTAATTATATTGATTGATTAAGAACTCTCATTTATCACTTTGAGGGTTGACAGGTTCGTGTCCCAATATCAGGCTCAGTATTATTAAAATTACTATATATTTGGGAACCCCGATGTGCACTGTTGCAACACTCACACTATAGGAACCCTTCTATATTTACAATAATTTATTAATACATTTAGCACAGTCACAAACACACTAACTCTGTAAGGTAGATAGAGATAATACAGAATGTACATCTCTACATTCAGCTCAGGATATACTCCATATACTCACATTATCTCTTGCAGAACAACCTGAAATGTTAGCCATCACCTTCCTCATCATCACCAGTGGCCATTATTCTGGCCCTTCCCAAGGGCTACATCTCTCTCTCCTCCCGCATACAGGCTGGGATACAGCTTTTATAATATGTTACACTAACGCCACTATGTCTAATGCGTTGGGGTTTCTCCCCTCTTCCTTATTTGTATTTCCTCACCTACCAAAGTTGGCGTGTCATTCTCCTATAGGTTAGCATATTCATGATCTCAACTTATTGTCATGTAGGTCAACTCGTTGCCATGACACTATTGTGGTCAGACATTTGTGGACGTTTTATCCCAAAGCTGGTGTTAGCTCATGTTCCTGTGGTTGGCTGATGTCATTATGGACAAAATTCCCCCTCACACTATTATTTCCAGTTCCCCAAAACTTAGGGGTGATCATTAGGTCACTGATCTGTGCCAATTTTCCTAGGCCTCAAGTCTTATGCTAACTGCTGAAGCCAGTGTCTTACAGGATACATGCCTTATATTTTACTTCCTTATGTGTCTTATATTTACTGTTGAATATAGGCAGCATATAATGAAGGCAAGGCAGTGAATATAATAAAGGCAAGCTAGCTTTATGGGCTATAACAAGTCCTCATATCTGGTGGAATGATGGGAAAATTTGGTGTCTCCTGCCCAAATCATGAGGGGTTGCTGCTGTTGGAAAAGGACTGTGAAATATCAGAGTCTGTGCCTTGATTTACCTTAAAAGAAAATTCCCTTATTTTTGAAGAACTTCAAACTTGTTTCATTGTTGTTTTTAAAGATAGTTAAACTCTCGGTCTTCTGAACAATTTATGCACACAAAGAAAAATTAATAAGTCATCTGAGAGCTGCTCGTTTGGGAAGAATCACTACAGATTGACTGAAGTAAACTTCTTGCACTGTGGTGATAATATTAGGAAGCCCTCATCAGGGGAGCTGGGACTGCAGTTGGTGTGAAGGACTTCAAGTTATACTGAAACTTATCTGAAAATATCCTTCCAAGCCTGCCAATATGTTATTCATTGAAGTGCAGAATGACTTTCCTTCAGTCCTACTTTGTCTCACTTCCTGTGCAGTTCGGAATAAAGTTATGGGTTACTAAAGACATCCTAATATTGCAATAGGTTATTCTTAGAGGAATTATTTAATTTATTTTATTTTGGAATTTTCAGATGATATTTTTTAATGGTTTTGCATTTGTGCCAAGGAGGTTTTTTTTTAAAAAAATCACTTGGCATTTTCCTAAGTAGGAAGCAAATGTTCGTAGTACAAGTGACCATGAATCTTCAGATGTCAGTCTTTGGAGCTCAGCCAGCCAGCCAGCCAGTGTCAGCTTAAAACCATAGGGAAGAACTAGTATATCTCCCATGGCTGTTCCAGGAGGAATCTTGTGTTCCTGAATGGAGGAGTCTGGATTGTATTGGACTAGCACATGTGAATTTCATTAAGATGTCTCTGACGAGTCTGTCCAGATAATAAAAGGCAGAGTGCTTCCTCAGCTGGGATGGGATTTATACAGCTTGAAATATTGGGAATAATAATCTTCTGTTAAAAAAAAAAACCAACCACCATCTTTTGTGCTTAAATTGAGTCCCTTGATATGATAGAAATTGGCTCTATCAGCAGCTTTTCCTCAGATACCTGTGTTCAGGCTTATTAGAAGGGTTGATGTCTGTGTGCGGTCTGTTCATATATTCACTGGGTTGTTTTTGTTTTAAGATAAAAATTTGTCCTCATCAGTAGCCCTACAGGGGATTTGCAAGAACAAATTTGCCCCTCGTGGGCTGCTCTTCCATTGTACGTCTGAGTCTTGTATTGGAGCTGAGAGCGTCAGGTGGGTTGGTGAAGCATTTATACAGATACATGTCAGAACATGTAAAGAACAGCTAGGCAGAGTCTGTTGATACAGATTGCCTTGCTCCTGTAGTAGCTTCCAAAGACCTGTCTACATTGAGGAAATCCGTCCCCTTGGAACTGCGCTGATGTCATTGTGCTGCGGCAGACATCCAGCATTGGTGCAGAAGTAGCTGTGATTCTTTCTTGGGGTGCCCAGGGCTGTGAGTCACTGTTACCCCCCCTTGCCTCTGTGAGAGAGAGACAGAGAGAGAGACTTGTTTGTGCTAAACTCGGTGTCAGCTCCCTGACATCCCCAGTCTATTAGTCACCCAAATAAATTCCTCAGGGCTCTGCCAGCCCCTGCTTTGTCTTGAAAGTTAACACTGGATGTACCCCAGTCCCTGAGCTCCTCTGAGTGTCCCCCTGTAGTGTTCAGCCCCTGTCACCGGTCGCTCTCAGTAATTACCAGATTTCCTATTCCCAAAGGAACGGTATATATACACACACAGCTTCATTGGTACAGCTCAGGATCAGGGTCTGTAAGACACCATAGCACAGAGATGTATTTATAGTGAAACAATTGTAAGTTTATTGTCAAAGATAAAGATTTAAGAGATACTGAGAAAGGATAATGGAAACAGAAATGGTTACATGTAAAGCAAAAGGTATAACATGGTCCTTAGAGCCTACATTTACCTTTAACAGGCTGAAATCCTTGTCTAAAGCAGCGTCTCGTCTAAAGCAGTGTCTCACCTAAAGCTTCTGCCTAATGTCACCAATCTACATGGCTAGGATCCAGCATTCATGAATGCAAAAGGCGCTGTTCTTTTTGCTCCCTTGCTGATGGACAACCAAAATATCTGTCTTGTCCCCCAGTTATAGACCAGTAAAGGTTGGAAACACCCTCCATTTGTTCTTCAGTGTGCTGACCCTCAGGAGGACTTCTCAGCCTCATGCTGACTTGGAATGCAAATGTAGCTCCTGTGTGTTTGGCTTACAGTGCTTAATTTACATCAGAGACAGGGACAGGTGAATGGCTATAGTTTGTCCGGCAGAAAACCTGTTTGTCAAATTTGCTTTTTTAAATAGTTTAAAACATATTTTAGTAGGTACATATAACTGCTTACACACCATCTGTATGTACAGCTTTCATCAGGTATGGCCAGTGTGTCTCCAGCTTTCATTTGATACCTTACAATTCATAATTTATAGATAAATACCATGAAAGCAATGTGTTCGCAGTAGTGAGTTTGTCAGCCCTGATAGGAATTGCTGACAGAGTAGTGAATCCTTTGCCAGTTGGCACCACTAGGCTTCTGTATTGCAGCAGCTCAATCCAGTAATTTACCAAAGGAGCAGGACTTGCATAATACCCGCTTCTTCGAGTGCTGGTCCTTACATGTGTATTCCACAAGTGGATACACACGTGCACCCTGCGCCTGAGATTTCTAGCAAGTCGTGTCCATTGGTCCGTGCCTGTTTAGTTGTTCTTGTTATGCTCTCAACCAAGGGTGTAAGTGTTGGTGGGACTTGTACCTCTTCCGTTCCTTCTTACTGTTGCATGGCCCGAGTCGGAATCCTCTATGTCCACAGATTTCTCCAGGCTTCTTCTGCTTCAAACCTGTAAATATATAGTATAGTTAGGGTATGTCTACACTAAAAACACAACAGCAGCACAGCTGCAGCATAGACCCTTACTACAGTGACAGGAGGGGTTCTTCCATCTCTGTAGTAAATTAACCGCTCTGAGATGCCATAGCCAGGTTGATGGAAGATTTCTTCCGTCAACCTAGAGGAGTCTGTATCGGAGCTTAGGTCAGCTTAATTACATTACAGTGTGCGAAATTTTTCACAGCCCTCAGTGATGTAGTTAAGAGGACCAAATTTTGGGCTTGTCTACATTACCCTCTGGATCGACGGGCAGTGATTGATCCAGTGGGGGTCGATTTTATTGCATCTAGTCTAGATGCGATAAATCGACTGCTGAGCGCTCTCCCATCGACTCCGGTACTCCATGGAGTCGACGGGGGAGCATCAGCCGTCGACTTACCCCAGTGAAGACACCACGGTAAGTAGGTCTAGGTACATTGACTTCAGCTACATTATTCACGATCAGCCTTCCCCCCTCCCCCCGGGTGTAGACCAGGCCTCAGTAGCGTAGACCAACCCTTAGTTTCTCCCTGCCCTCATGGAGTCTCTCCCTATGGACAAAGATGTCCAGAGTCTAAGGTTTAAGAACTGCATCTCCTGTGCCCATTCCTTTTCTGTGAGCAATGAGCACCAACACTGCCTCTGTTGTCTGGGAGAAGTGCATATCTCAGCTAAGGGCAGTATTTGCTGTTCATTTCCCCCTGGAACCTGTGAGGCACAAGAGCTGTAGCTAAGAAAACATCCTATGGAGAAGGCTATGAGACCTCAGTCTGATCCAGACCAGGGAGATTCCCCCATACATCAGCCTCAACTGACGAGCAGCATGCCTCCGAGCACAAGCTTGGGAGCAGAAGCCAGAGCTGCTAAGCCTGAGAAGTCATCATCCAGGACTTCTCATGAGAGTAAGGGATGCTTCTGTAAGCATAAGGACAGATCTCCTTCCAGGTCTGCGCCCAAGTCGGGTGAGTCCTCACATGTGGGCAAGGATCGAAGGAGAAGAGATGTGGTGGAACCAATTTCAGCTCTGATCCTTAAGCCTAAGGATCGGCATATACTTACACCATCTAAGAGCTTCCCAATAGACTTTGATGGTACCGACCCATCACTGTAAAGACCTGCCATCCACAATGATTGTGGATGCACAAGATTGATCGGTCACGACTACTTGCACATCATGGACTCTGGGACAAACTGAAACTTGCACCTCACCAGAGAATATCTTAACCCTACCTTATCCTTAGTCTTCTCTTCTTTCGGGTCTGACCAGAGACATTGTGAATAGTTATGCTGGTAGGAGAGTGAACCGAGAACACTCATGGCTGATCTGTCTTACACTATTTTTCATTAGGAGGTTTCCCTTCACCTGCAATTCATCCCAAAAAATAATTTCCGAGTTACACATAAATCAATCTATCAATTTACCGGTATTCTTCCCAAAACTTCCTGTTTCTAGTGAGGACAGGAGACTTCACTCTCTGGATGTCAGTGAGCTCTGGTGTTCTACCTGCAAAGGACAAAATGGATAGAAAATCACCAGGATTAATTGGAGCTATAGCAGAGTGGTTATGAGGACAGGTATTATCTGCTCGGCAACTATCTAAGTAGATCTCCAGCTGCATCATTCTGTGTTACCAATTAGTGCGTATTCCTCCCCTGGCTGGGGTGAGAGCCCATTCCACTAGAGCACGAGCCACTTTGGCAGCACCTCTCTGAGAGGTACCTATTGTGAACACGGGTTCCGACTTTCTTCTGTCTGGATGGGTGCTCCACCCCCACTCCATTCCCTCCCCCCAAGGACCACCCTGCTCTGCCCTTGCTCCGCCTCTTCCTGCCCCCGTGCCACCCGCTTCCCCCAGCACCTCCCCACCGCTGCTGAACAGTTGATGGCCGGGTGGCTGGTGGGTGCTGAGCACCCACTATTTTTTTCCATGGGGGCTCCAGGGCTTGGGCTCCGGGCTGTAGACCAGCTACCTGAAGCTCCATCCCTACATTCAGGAAACATTTGTTTTAGTTCAAGCCTTCTCTGCAGATGCAGCTGTTGGGACTGCAGTATGACAAGAATCTATAACAACTGTATCCTCACCACCCGCTCCTGTTTAAATACTGCTTATCTATCACCCACATGTGGAATACACATAGGGACCAGCGCTCAAAGAAGAAATGGAGGTTGCTGACCTTTAATTGGAGGTTCTTTTGAGATGTGTGGTCCCTATCTGTATTCCACTACTCACCTTCCATCCCCTCAGCTTTGAATTCTTCTGATTTGCGGTAAGAGAGGAACTGGAGAGTCTGCACTGCCCTTATGCCCTCAGTTCTGCGCTCAAGGAGAACAGCTGCACAGGCGTGGACCAATGGACACTACTTGCTAGAAATCTCTGGATCTCAGCCACATGATGCATGTGGGTATTCACATGTGAAATACAGATAGAGACCACACATCTCAATCAGTGTTCCCTCTAATTTTTTCCATCCCTGTGTGGAATAAATTTTGTTATATGCACTGAGGGATGTGTGCCACCAGTAAAAACAAAAAACCTAGATATAATATATATATATTTTTAAAGTTACCATAGGGATAATTACTCCAGCCAGGACAGGTTAGGGATTTTAGAACTCACTACTCAAAGAATTAAATTTAAGTGTAAGAGAAATAAAAATTATGAAATGCATTGACGAGTCAAAACACTAAAATAACTCACCTTGAAAGAATAGAATTACAGAGAATATATGGCAAAGAGTCCTGTGGCACCTTATAGACTGACAGATGTATTGGCGCTGAAGCTTTTGTGGGTGAATACCCACTTCGTCAGATGCATGAGAATGTGCGTTGCAGGAAATACCAAGAAGTAACAACAACAATAATACAAGTATGTGTTGGGAGGTGAGTGTGAAAGAGACTGTGCGTGCATGTGTGTGACACACAGAGACATTGTGTGTGCTGACTGCTGGGGAAAGCCGTACGCTGTCTCTTTAAGACACTCACTGAAAGCTCTCCTGCTCTGTCCTAAGCCCTGTTATCTCCCCTCCCCCACTCTGCAGAGGTGGGGTACATGGGGAAGGGGAGAGAGAGAGACTGTGTGAGCTGGCTGCTGGGGAAATCTCAGAAACACTGCACTGGGTCTTTAAGACAGGCACTCAGTCACTCACCGTTCAGACCTCAGTAGTTCTAAGTCCTCCTGAGCCCTGCTCTGTGGAGATGGGGTACAGGGGCCGGGGGAGGGGGACACCCTGCCATCAGCACCCCCTCCCTCCCTGATCCCCCACAGCCAGTAGGAGGGTCTTGGGAGCAGCTGCAGGACAGAGCAATGTTGGGGGTGGGGGGGGCACCTGAACACAGGCTGCCGGCTGTGCTAGCTCAGCTAATCAGCTGGGCTGATTAAATCTCTCCTGCGCAGCCGCCCACGCGTGCATCTTACAGGGAACACAGCTCTCAGTGAATCTCCAGTTACAGGTCTGTAACCTCCATTTTCTGTCAGCACGTGCATCCATGTCATTAGAGGCTTGCACCAGTGTTGCTACATCAGTGTGCTAAACTGGTGCAGCAGGAAGCCAGTGTCTCAAACATTCTGGCCTTTCAGCCAGCCAGCCATAAGATGGAGGAAGTCCCCTTTTATAGGGAGAATTGCCTGCTCAGACACAGGGGAGATGTATTGGGTTTCCTGGTTTCAGAGGAACAGCCGTGTTAGTCTGTATTCGCAAAAAGAAAAGGAGTACTTGTGGCACCTTAGAGACTAACCAATTTATTTGAGCATGAGCTTTCGTGAGCCACAGCTCACTTCATCAGATGTGTACCGTGGAAACTGCAGCAGACTTTATATACACACAGAGAATATGAAACAATACCTCCTCCCACCCCACTGTCCTGCTGGTAATAGCTTATCTAAAGTGATCAGCAGGTGGGCCATTTCCTGCACAAATCCAGGTTTTCTCACCCTCCACCCCCCCACACAAATTCACTCTCCTGCTGGTGCGTGTGTTTGGGGGTGGGGGGGAAGTGAGAAAACCTGGATCTATGCAGGAAATAGCCCGACTTGATTATGTAAAGAGTTGTCACTTTGGATGGGCTAGCACCAGCAGGAGAGTGAATTTGTGTGGGGGGGTGGAGGGTGAGAAAACCTGGATTTGTGCAGGAAATGGCCCACCTGCTGATCACTTTAGATAAGCTATTACCAGCAGGACAGTGGGGTGGGAGGAGGTATTGTTTCATATTCTCTGTGTGTATATAAAGTCTGCTGCAGTTTCCACGGTACACATCTGATGAAGTGAGCTGTGGCTCACGAAAGCTCATGCTCAAATAAATTGGTTAGTCTCTAAGGTGCCACAAGTACTCCTTTTCTTTTTGGGTTTCCTGGGTACGTGACAGGACTTGGTACTGCTTTTCCTGTGACCTTCACTGTGGCTATGATATAAAGAAAAAGCCGTGAGAAAATAATCCGTCACAGAGCAGTAGATGAAGTATGGTCTTTCTACACTGCCAACTCTACCACATGGGAGAATCGTGCTACAACTTGATAATGCTTCAGTCATTGGTGTCCTAGATCGGTCTTGCCTGGGAAGATGGGACCAAACTGTGTTTTGACATGATCCCCTCATGTGATACATCGGGCAGTGCAGGCGGGCTCTAAATCAGCCATGCTGAAAGCCAAATCCACATGACTTCACAATTTGGCACTCCAGGTGATGAGTCCCACTAAAGGAGGGTTTCATGAGATGAACCCATTACAGAGCACATTTTCAGGGAGTTGAGTCCTTTTTTTCTGCAAAGGCAAGCAGGGATCATAGAAACTGATATCTGAACACACAGAACCAAGGTAACCAAACTGTGGGGTGCGCCCCTAGGGAGCCACAGAGGAACCTTTGGGGTGGGGGGCAGCAGGGCCTGGGCCAGCCCTCATGGGAGGCAGGGAGAGAGCCCCACCCAGCCCCTCCCTGCCCCCAGCTCTGCTTTGGTCCCGCCCACAGCTGTGTCCCCAGCTCCCAGTCCTGCACCTGACCCCATGCCCAGCCTCAGCATGGCTCTGCATCCGCTGCTGGCCCAGGTGCTGCTCTGCTCCCAGCCCCGCCCCCAGCCTCGGCCACTGACTGCGACTACATTCCCTGTCCCTCTCCCAGCCCTAGCCCCACCTTCAGCTGCAGCCCCAACCTCGGCCCCCTTACCTCTGTCCACAACCCCTCCCCCACTTCCCCAGAGCTGCAGCCCCACTCCTGGCCCCAGGAGGGGTGGGGAGCACGGACAGGGGTGAGGGGAGCGTGGCCCCTCAAAATTTGGGGACCACTGGTATAGAATAACTAGGGGACTGTAGCAATAGAGCATGACTTTGGATGCTACTAGTAATTCCCATAACAGCAATGGTTGCTGTTGCGGGAATTATACATTTTGTTATTCTTTGAATTACAGCAGCAGCCAAAGGCTTCAATCAAGAGCAGGACCCCATTGTGCTGGGCGCTGTACCAACACACAGATTCTCCCTGCTCCAAAGACAAAGAAGACAGATAAAGTGTGGAAGGGGAAACAGGTGCAGAGAGGGGAAGGAACTTGCCCAGGGTTGCGCATCAAGTTAGTGGCTGAGTTTGGAATAGAACAGTGAGCAGTGTCCCCTGCTTTATGCAGTCTTTTTGGAGGAAAAGCTGATCAGTCCAACTCCCCATCTTGTCCTTGTGTGTAACCTCTGGAGGTGCTGTTTCTATGTGACTATCCTATCTATCACATCATCTGGTATCACATCATCTGAGAAAACCTGGATCTATGCAGGAAATAGCCCGACTTGATTATGTAAAGAGTTGTCACTTTGGATGGGCTAGCACCAGCAGGAGAGTGAATTTGTGTGGGGGGGTGGAGGGTGAGAAAACCTGGATTTGTGCTGGAAATGGCCCACCTGTTGATCACTTTAGATAAGCTATTACCAGCAGGACAGTGGGGTGGGAGGAGGTATTGTTTCATATTCTCTGTGTGTATATAAAGTCTGCTGCAGTTTCCACGGTATACATCTGATGAAGTGAGCTGTAGCTCACGAAAGCTCATGCTCAAATAAATTGGTTAGTCTCTAAGGTGCCACAAGTACTCCTTTTCTTTTATCATCTGGTATGACATCCTCATGCAGGAAGGATACGTGTGCCCTGATTAAAGTCCCTTGGTTGGTCAGTCTTTAGCATCGTAACATTTTCCAGCAAGGGCTTAGGGTCGTTGGGCATGTTGGTTTAGCTAATTTTCAGTCTGAAAGATTGCCTTGAGGTCTACACTTGCCCAGCAGAGCTCAAGGTTTTCCCATCCCTAAACAATTCAGAGTCCTAAGCTCTTAACATTGACACGGTAGACAACCTTTGAATTGACAGTTTCAGGAATGTGTATGCAGACAGCGAGTCACACTTCTGCCTCTGTGCTAACATACATAAAAAATATAGTATCTGGAGACAGAACAAGAGCTGAGATAACAAAACAAATGTAACTCAGATCACTCAGGACTTTCATGATCAACTTTAGAGGAAAGCAGCATTGGTAAGAGAGTCCTAAAAATGTCAGTAACCTTAAATCCACTCAGCTGTTTCAACATCATGTCTTTGTTACTGTTAAAGCTGAAGCACATTTGGGAGCCAAGCAGCTGCTAAGATGCATGACTAGAAAAGCAGGCAGTAGGTCAGTGGAAAACCAGAAGAAACAATACACACAGTTCTTTGGTGAGCTATGTTCAGCTTTTTCATTGTTACATTCGGCGTTTGCCTTATGTTCCCAGAGAGGGTTGACAACCCAATCTAGAAAACATAATCTGTGGAATAATTACAGTGTTTGTTTAAAGTATTAAATGAAACAATACCAACTCAGCAAATTACATAATGTGTGATTCATGGGATCTAAAGTAAAACACATTTTATCTTTAGCAAAACCAGCTGTGAAACATCACATCAGACATGGTCATTTAACTGGCTACTTCAGTACTATTCAGAGTGAAATCTCACCTCTGATGTACAACAGCCTCAGGGGGCTATTTCCCTTCCACCTGTCCACAGCTGCCTTATTTCTAAAACATCATTTCTCCTGTTATGTTTGTACCTAATCAAAATTATGCACTTTACTTAGAAAGGAAGCAGTAAAGCAGTGGTTCTTAACTGGGGTGCATGCACCTCTTGGGGGTGTGAGATGCCCTTTCTGGGGGTGCAAGACATGCCAGATTTTTTTAGA